CAGCTAGGGCTGAGCCAGGCCAAAGCCAGGAGCTTCATCTGGGTCTCCCATGTAGGTACGTTGGCCCAAGTACTTGGGCCATCTTCTGCTTTCCCAGGCACATTAGCAGGGAGCGGGATTGAAAGTGGAGCAGCCAGGATTCAAACCAGCATTCATATGGAATGCTGGCACTGTAGCTGTCAGCTTAACCTGTTGTGTCACAATGTTGGCTCCAGTCAACTGCTCTTTGACAAAGGAGCAAAGGCAATGCAGTGGAGAAAACACTTTCTAACAAATGGTTCTGAAGCAGTAACTGGACATCCATGTGCAAAGAAATACACCTAAACATAGTCCCTATACCTTTAACAAAAATTAACTTAAGGGCAAGTGCTGTGGCACAACAGGTTAAGCCACAGTGCCAGCATCCCACATGGGTGCTGGTTTCTGTCCCAGCTGCTCCACTTCTGATCCAGCTCACTGCTAATGTGCTTGCAAAGGCAGCAGAAGATGGCCCAAGTCCCTGGCCCCTGCCACTCACATGGGAGACCTGGAAGAAGCTCCTGGCTCCTAGCTTTCACCTGGCCCAGCTCCAGAGGTTGTGGTCTTTTGGGGAGTGAACTAGCAGATAGAAGACTTCTCTCTGTAACTCTTTCAAATAAATCTTAAAAAAAAAATAAAAAAAAAAAAAATAAAAAAAAAAACACAAACCTCAAAATGGACCATAGATCTAAATGTAAAATGCAGGGCCAAGCATTGTGGTGCAATAGGTTAAGCTACCACCTGTGACACTGGCATCCCATATCAGAGCACAGGTTTGAACCTGGCTGCCCTGCTTCCAATCTAGCTCCCTGTTAATGTGCCTGGGAAAGCAGTAAAGGTGGCCTAAGTGCTTCAGTCCCTGCCACCCATGTTTGAGACCCAGATGGAGTTCCTGGCTCCTGCCTTCGGCCCAGCCCAATCACAGCCAATGTGGCCATTTTCAGAGTGAACTAGCACATGAAAGATCTCTCTCAGTCTCTCCATTTCAAATAAACAAAATAAATGTTTAATAAACAAATGTAAAATGCAAAATTCTAAAACTTCTAGAAGCAAACATTTAGGAGAAAATTTATGGGATCTCAGTCTAGTGATGACTTTTTGGACATAATACCAAAACAATGATGTATGAAAGAAAAAAACTGTTAAGTCAGACTGTATGAAAATTTAAAATTTCTGTTCTGCAAAAGACACTGTTAAGAGAATGAACAGATAAGCCCTGAGCTTGGAGAAAATATCTGTGAAAAAATTAAAAATATACAAAGCACTCTTAATAAGAAATTTTTTTAAAGATTTATTTATTTATTTATTTATTTATTTATTTGAAAGGCAGAGTTACAGAGAGGCAGAGGCAGAGGCAGAGAGACAGGTCTTCCATCTGCTGGTTCACTCCCCAGATGGCTGCAACGGCTGGAGCTGTGCCAATCCGAAACCAGGAGCCAGGAATATCCTCCAGGTCTCCCACACGGGTGCAGGGGCCCAAGGACTTGGGCCATCTTCTACTGCTTTCCCAGGCCAAGGCAGAGAGTTAGATTGGAAGTGGAGCAGCCAGGATTCAACCCGGCACCAATATGGGATGCTGGCACTGCAGACCAAGGCTTTAACCTACTGTGCCACAGTGCCAGCCCCAGAATTTTTTTTTTTTTTTTAATTTTTAAAGTGGACAAAGATCTGGACAACCATTGGATAATAATCCATCTGACCTCTGTCCCAGGTTCTCAGAACAAAGCTTCTAAAATTCTTGGAATCCCCATGTGATGGGACGATCTGTTGTTATTCCTGAGCTCCTTGAATCCGACCTCAGTTTATGTTAATATAGGTGACTCATGTAATGTCCCTACAGCTTCAGGATAGGGGGCTGGGCATGCCAGAGGACCATGTGAATAGAGGGTTGGGGCTGTGAGCCATGTGGTGTCAACACATCCTTCAAGGAGAGAGGGCTGTAAACTGAATACAATCAGGTGGCAAATTCAATCAATTATGCCTATGTATTAAAACTCCAATGAGGCCGGCGCCGCGGCTCACTAGGCTAATCCTCCGCCTAGCGGCGCCGGCACACCGGGTTCTAGTCCCGGTTGGGGCGCCGGATTCTGTCCCGGTTGTCCCTCTTCCAAGCCAGCCCTCTGCTGTGGCCAGGGAGTGCAGTGGAGGATGGCCCAGGTGCTTGGGCCCTGCACCCCATGGGAGACCAGGAAAAGCACCTGGCTCCTGGCTCCTGCCATCGGATCAGCGCGGTGCGCCGGCCGCAGCGCGCCGGCCGCGGCGGCCATTGGAGGGTGAACCAACGGCAAAGGAAGACCTTTCTCTCTGTCTCTCTCTCTCACTGTCCACTCTGCCTGTCAAAAAAAAAAAAAAAAAAAAAAAAAACTCCAATGAAAACTGGGGTAGTAAACTCAATGGAGCTTCCTGTATGGTGAATGTATCTGACGGCCTCTAATACACCTTGATATACCAGGAAGTCCTAATTTCACTAGCAGAGGACACAGAAACTCTGTTTGGGACCTATGTGCCTCTTCATTTAGCTAGTCCTTATCTGCAACCGTTATAATAAAACTGTAATCGTAGGGGCCAGCATTGTGCAGTGGGTTAAGTCAGCCTGTATCCAGTATGAGCACCAATTGGAGTTTTGGCTCCACTTCTGATCCAGCTTCTAATGCACCTGGAAAGGCGGTGGAAGACAGCCCAAGTACTTTAGGCCCTTGTCAACCTAGTAGGAGACCAAGAACGAGTTCCTGCCTCATGCCTTCAGCCTGGCCCAGCCCTAGTTGTTTGGGGCATTTGGAGAGTAAACCAGCAGATGGAAGATATCTCTCTCTCTCTTTTCTTCCATCCTTCTCTCTCTCCCTTCCCCCCACTCTTCTCTTCCCCTCTCTATTCCTCTAACTTTCAAATAATTTTGTTTAAGGCCCTGTAACTGTAAATGGAGGGCTTTTCTGATCCACAAATCTAGCTACTGTAGACGTTTTTGAGAATGTTTACTTACAGTACAGTACTACAGAAAAGATGACTGCATTTCCATGTCTCTGAAGCTTTGCATAATCTGTGGTAAATATGCTAAGAGTGATTGTGAAGCCTTGATGCTGTGCCTGAGGAACAATCCTCTGGGAGAAGAGATTCCCTAAGAAGGTCCAAGCCTAGGTTATCTCAAAGGACGTTCCATAAAGACCGCTCACAACTGTACCTCCCTGGCTACTCTAGGGCCCTGGATTTCAGAACTTCCTTTTTATCTTTCCAATATTCTTAAGATGATTAATACACATAAAATAATATGTATAATCTTTCTCAATTATAAAAATAAATTGTATTCTTAGGTCTTCCTTCCATAGCCATAGTTTGCTACAAAATAAACTGTCTACCATCACCTTCTCCCTTACCTCTCCAGGCCTTGGCTTCCACAATGGAGAAGTGGCTTACCAAAGGTTTGATGTCAGAGCCAGGACTGCAACCAAGGAGTTTCTCATCCCAGTACTCTACACTGTTATCAGTAGAAAAAATAGTGGACAGGTGGCAAAATATTTCTCTTTTTCCTACGTCTGAAAATTGCTTACCTGTCCTTAACACTCAAGAAGAACAACAACTACTAATTCATCACATTCAGCAGTGAACTCTACTCATTATCTATGTAATCCTTCCAGGCTACTTAACTTCTCTGGGCCTCAGTTTCCTCAAATGTAAGTGAGGATAATATTAGATACTTCATAAGGCAGGTGTGAGGATTGAGACATGGCAAATAAAGTGCTGGCCACGTAGTACATATGGTTAATACACAATAACATTTTACTATCACCATTACCATCACCATCACCATCATCATCATCAGGATCTAGGAAGAAATGTTGAGTTACTCAAAATACTAAGTTTTAGCCAATGTCATCAATTAAACTCTGTAGTTGAACCTGGATTCCCAGCTTTGTCTAAGTAGTTTTATCTAGATATAATTTGCTTATGGAGTTTATTATCTTCCTTCAGTCTATCATACCTCATCCAATATCTCCTACAAAGACCCTTATGACTTGCTTGCCAGAGGATTGATTAGCATCAAAATACAAGGCACACCATGCACTGGAAATTTTTTTAAAAAAATCCCACTTGGGACTACCAGGAAATGGAATGTTGCCAACTCCCTAACTATAGTACATATCACATGTAGTAGAACACAGTATCACTTTTATGCTCATTTAACCTCTTAAAGCCAAGGATTATTATAACATTACTTACTAATAACTAGAAAAAAAAATTGCTTATCAGCCTTTTGGCTAAGATCAAGTGCAGTGTAACTGGAAAATGGGCACAATTGATTATTCCTCACCTTTTGTCCTAAAGAGGCTTTTGAAATGGGTTTTCAAAAGGTGAGTCTTAAATCAGTGGCAGTTCATAGGCAGTTTAAAACTCACCACCAGAAAGAGAACCGACAGGCCAACCTGAGCAATCCAGACAGGAACTGATGAAGGAGGAGAGAGGGCTAAGTCTGTTTCTCTGGGTGGGAGGTGATAAAGTCACAGCATCTACTTTTGTACATTGATCCCATTCTATAGGTTGTGTTCTACCTAATCCTGTTCTCTTAGCACATCCTCCAGCCCTTTAACTACTAGGAAGAAAACAGGTAATCCAAAAAAAAAAAAAAAAAGAAGATATGTAAGGATCTCCGGCAAATCATTTGAACCAGCAACTGAAAAAAGTGATGCTTTTAGAGAGGCAACTTTTCACCTCCACTCAGAAATATGTATACCTACCCTGCAACAATCTCCAACAGGCAATATCTTCATAAGATTTGTGGTACTTCTTAGAAGAGACCACTCTAGGCATATTCAGTTTGCTTTTTACATTTAGATGACTGTGTGCTCCTCTATTTCCACAGAAATGCTCTATAATAATTAAACACTACAAAACAGTATACCTTAATAATGTACACAATTATACTCATACAGTAAATTGTGACTACGCCAGAGAGAAAATGAGTACAAATCAGTTTTTTGTCAGCTTACGTGAGCTCCTGGAGGGCTTGTTTTGATCTCTGCAGGTCTGGCAAGTAGTGAGAAAGCAATCCTTCTGCCAGCTGCTCCACAGCTTTGTCTTCTACACTCAGGTCCTCTATTAACCCTTCATCTGGAGAAGTGTCACTTACACCTGGCCCCAAGCAAAAATCACCTTTAGGAAGCTCTTATACTGGCATAGTTATGAAAGGGAGAGTGGGTGGGAAGGTGGCCCACAGTGGAGTTGAGAGCATGCACCTACTTTCCTGGCTGTCCTTCTCTTCTTTCTAAACTTGTACCTCCGATCTTTCTCTAAAAAACCGGTTGTGAGCACTCCCAAAGTATTTTTAACCCACTAGTATAAGATAAAATCTGGAAGAAAAGAACGTTCACACACTTAGAATTCTGCTGGTGCCGGCACTGTGGGGCAGTGGGTTACGCCCTTGCTTGTCAAGCCATCATCCCATATTGGAACGCCAGCTGCTCTGCTTTTGATCCAGCTCCCTGCAAGTGCACCTGGGAAGGCAGAAGATGGCCCAAGTATTTGGGTCCCTGCCACCCATGTAGGAGACCAGGATGGAGTTTTTTTTTACTTTGGGCTTTAGTTTGGCTGTTGTCAACATTTGGGGAGTGAACCAGCAGATGGAATGTCTCTCTTTGTCATTCCCTCTGTCACACTGCTTTTCAAATAAATAAATAAATAAATCTCTTACAAAAGCAAAATTCTATGTGTTTACATTTTTTTCAGGGCAGGGATATTTATAGTTTTCAATGAGCTGAAAAGTCTGAGGATGATTTAAAGTACTTTGCTTTCAAAAGGATGCAGAAATTATACAAAAATGCAATACCTGAAAACATCTGTTTTGTATTCCACAGAAACAAGAATATTGGCCAACATTCAGTTTGCATATAGCCAGATATACTATTTACAAGTAAAAGGGGGGTTGTTTTGTGATTTGTTAGAGAGAAGAGAGGTTTTCTAAGAATTCCTCCTCTCTTAAGATTCAACCATAGAAAATAATGTAATTTATTGTCTTATATGTAAATCTAGACCTGATCTGAGGATTGACACCTGATTCTTTCTCTTTGAATAACAGTGTAAGCACTGTGCCAGGCATTCAAAAAAATGAATGTCTAAGACGAAAGAAATCCATGAATCGTTATTCCAAGCAAGAAAAGTATAAACAATTTCTAAATTGGGTTCAATTAATAATTTAATAGGTATTTTTCCTTCTTTCTTTCTCTTTTTCCTTTTTTCCCCCCATAGAGAGAGAAAGAAAGAGATAGAAAGCTCTAATCTGCTGGCTCATTTACCAAATGCCTGTAATAGCAGGGCCAAAGCAGTCTGGGCCAAGGCCAGAAGCTAGAAACTCAATCCAGGACTGCCACATGGATGACAAGAACCCAATTACTTGAGCCATCACCACTGCCTCCCAGGTCTGCATCAGCAGGAAGGTGGAGTCAAAGAGCCAGAGGTGGACAATGAACCCAGGCACCCCAATGTGGGACAGGGGCATCTTAACTGCTAGGCCACAGGTCCACCCCTGGTTTAAAAGATTTAGAATCACAGGTTTAAAATCAGAAAAAAGCAAATGGTCACCTTGCCAGAATTGTACTAGCAAGCATTTTATTGTAAAAACATTTTATAGTTAATATTTTTTTCAAAGATTCGTCTATTTATTTTAAAGGCAGAGTTACAGAGAGAGAGGCAGAGGCAGAGGCACAGGCAGAGAGAGAGAGAGAGAGAGAGAGAGAGATCGGTTTTCCATCCACTGGTTCACTCCCCAAATGGCCACAATGGCCAGAGCTGTGCAAATCTAAAAGCAGGAGCCAGGAGCTTCTTTTGGATCTCCCACACGGATGCAGGGGCCCATCTTCTACTGCTTTCCCAGGCCATAGCAGAGAGCTGGATCAGAAATGGAGCAGCCGAGACTCGAACCGGTGCCCATATGGGATGTTGGCACTGTAGGTAGCAGCTTTTCCCACTATACCACAGCGCTGGCCCCTATACTTAATATAAACTCTGAAACATCTCTCTTCAATCATAGTCTGGCAGCAATAAGAAACATGAAATCGGGTCTCTTTATGGAGTACATTGATCACAATGCATTGCTTATAGCACGATTCTAGGTAGTTTTTACTCCAGATTTAAATTTTGCCAAGAATGAAGAATACAACATGTTGTCATACTCAAAATAAGGTTTTAGAAAATCAAAATAAAGTCATATTATTTTTATCTTAATCCTAAAAACGTATGAACAAACTCTGGAATTCTCACATTTAAAAGGCAATATTTAAACAGGTAAGAGCTAACTGGAAACTGAAATACTACACAACTATGATAAAAAATATAGTGAGAAAAGTACTTAAGGATACTGTGCCCCCAATGTGCATTAAATGGGAAATGAACAAATTATATCTGGCAATTAATGCTACTGCTTAAGACCTGATTACAGTAACAGTACAAACATCAATTTTCTTTAAGTAAATACAGAAAGCATAAGTATTAGAAATAAACAAATAGAAACATTCAAAAAAGGATGAATCAACTTCAAGGAATAACAAAATATACATATGTTTAACTCACAGACATGTTCCACTCCCCAGTCTGCTGGTGAGTTACCAGACAAGTCTCAGATACTAGTGTTTGTACACTTAGTTACTAAAGGCAAGGTAACTTATTGTGGAGAAGTAAAGAAGAAAGCATCCCTTCCCTAGTCACACAGAAGCATTCCCTGAATACCTATTATGTACGGGTTATGAGGTTATAGGCAAGCCTCCTTCCCTAGAAGGGTACAAGGGAATCGTAGAATATGAGACGTGCCAACAGGAAAACAGAAATGGTTCTGGAAATTCAGGGGAAAGAAAGATCACTTTCAGCAGGGACGAATGGAACCATTTTGAAATTAAGCGTGGGCCCCTGAGGTGAGGTTTCAAAAATGGATGGTGTTTTCATTTCTTTTTTGACGTGTCACTCAGTGTAAAAACGTAAAACATGACAGAGGAAGGCACAAGCTGAAAAGTAAAAATACTGCTTCTCACTGCCTGACTCCACAAGACATTACTCTGGAGTATCTTACATACCTTCCAGAAATTGTCTCTGCTTGTCTAGGTATTTACTCCTCATTACAAACGAAACAGTTCTCATACTGTTCTGTGTACTTTTGTCTTAAATATATATCTTAGATGTTTTTCTCCATCAACACATATGGATCTACCACATTCTTTAATAAAAGAATACAATTCTACCAAAGTTTATTTAACTAGTTCACTATGAATGGGTCATTTGGGTTCCTAGCTTATCTTTGCATATTAGTGTCATTTTTTCTGTAGTATACATTCTTAGGAAAAGACTGTTAAGACAAAAATTTATGCATTTTTTAAAAGACATTAAAAAGTTGTCCTCCTAGAATATGGGACCAATTTAGACTCCCACCAACAATCTACGAGGACTATTTCTAAAGGTTAAGAATTCTGTGACAGGAGTGGACAGGATGGAATACTGGTAAAGCGAGCAGCGCGAGGAGAGATGGGAACACAGGCTTCCTCCGGAAAGGGAAGGTCGTCTGAGGAGTCCAGAGCACAGGACCTATGCAACATGGCAACTGTGAGCTATTTATTAAGCTGTGTTGCCAGGCTGTGAGAGCCCACCGGTGTTAACAGGTCTGGACTTTGTCCTAAGCAGTGAGGAGCCACTGAAGGAGCAAAGGAGAGAGATGACTAGTGCTTGGTGCAGGCAGTGACATAACAGCAGGACAGATGAGTTGGACTAGTAAAAGGTCAGAAGTGGGCTAGCTTTCCAACTGCTAGTTTGAAAATACAAAGAGGAAATGAAAATTGTACAGTAGAATCCCCTAGACTAAGAGGGAAGACAAGAGAGAGCGAAGAGTTGAGAGCAATTTCAGCATTTCAAGGGAAAGCCATTTGGCATCATCAATAGGCTCAAACATCTGCTTTGATTTATGCTCTATATGAAATTAGTACAAAATATCCATGGTTGAGGCATCAAGCAAGAGTGAGCAGAGGGGCCCAAAATGAAAATATGTGTAGATGGTCCCTACAAACGCTGTATGTGTTCAATAAAAACCACACTTCAGATTTTGAGTTTTGATCTTTTCATAGGCTAGCAGTGTGCAACAGGAACTCTCTGGCAAACCCTATAACTCAGTTATTCATACAGTCAGGAGGGTAAATAAACAATAACTTACAGTGTATTATGTTGCCAAGCTACGATGTTTGGTAGGCTAGGTGCATTTCAATGGTATTTTCAATTTGTCATGTGCTTACTAAGCAACCCCATCTTGAGAAGTGAATGCCCAAGGAAGTCCTATTCATAGACGTGACATCTGAAGTGTGAGGAGAAAGACAGCATGAAGGAAAACAAGCCCTATTTTGAGGGTTAACAGACTTTTGAAAAAGGGCAGATCCAAAATCCTAGGGCTCCTCATCTGTAGCACAAAACATAGAAAATGCTTTGAGTGGCTATCTTCTCAGTTCTCCCAAGAATGGTTCATACACAGCAAGTTAACCCATTCCACTCAATGGATACCTTACGGCATTAGGACTTAAGCATCTCCTGGAATTCGGGCTGAAGACAGGCAGTTGGAGGGATAGGGACAGACTACTGTCGTGAAGAAAGAGAATGTCATGAGTGGTCACGACACGTCTCGGAGCTATAGAGACCGTCTTTCTGACGAACTCATCCCAACCACTATCGTATGACAAGCAGCCAGCGATCTGCTGCAGTCAGCACACAAACTCAGAATGAACGCCGCCCAGGTCGCCAACCGTACCCATACAGCGCTTCCACTCCGGCCTTGGGCCGCCGCCCAGCCGGCGAGGCGCGGGGAAGCAGGCGCGGCTCCTGCCTCCGCGCTCCGGCCAGACCTCAGCCGCCGAAACCAGCTTCCCTCTTGGGGGTGGCTCCCGAGACCCACCCACTCGCACCCGGGCAGCCGCCCGCCCTGCCCTGCAGCACATACCAGGCATCGGTTCCCGGACCTCCAGGCTGTCCGGTGGCTCTGTCGGGACCCCGTCCGGGGACGGAGACCCGGGGACACTCGTGTCCATCCCTCTGGGAACAAGGCAGTGGCAGTCTTGAAGACTTAAGAAGCAACGACGGACCCAGCGCCTTCAGCTCCCGGCCGGAGCGAAGCGACGGTCGCACCCGGAACTTACGGAAGCGGAAGAGAGCCGCGGGCGCACGTGACCGCGGGCAGGCGCTACCCCACCCACCCGGGCGTCGGGAAACCCTGCGTTTGGTTGTGGGTTCCGGGCGTGGTTTAGCCCCGCTCTGCGGAGCAGGGCTCCGAAACCGGCTCCCCGACGGAGAGCGAGGGCGGGCCTGGGCTGCTCCTCGGTGGGTCGTGAAGACCTGAAGAGCGCTGGAGCTGTTGGACGCGGGCGAGCAGTCAGGTTCTCTTCACGGAGCGCTGCTTTTCATTGTTGTGTCCGTGTAAAGGAAAAACCTCAGGAACGGATCTGCGCGCTTTCCCCGGGATCTAGACCATTTTAAAAATCCCGTGTCCAGCTCTCTCTGGGCTTCAGCCTTGCTGATAATTGGGGCTTTCTCACCACTTCGGTCTCCCCTTGTTAACTAACGATGGAGCATCTACTGAAGACACTCTGCCAAATTTCCGGAAACTACTTGTCATAAATATTCATGGAAAATAGGCAGAGATAGCCGCTGGACCTAATAAAATGGCCATCTATCCGTTTCCTTCCTAGACCTTCTTGATAGGGGATGCCCATGTGGGCTCCCCTTTTACCCGGGGCCTCCTGAAGCCCCAAACTCCAAGCTCTTTTGTTATGGTTTCCCCTTAGTTTCCTAAAGTTATATCCCTCTTATGCTTTACCAATGAGACTGATGGTTTAACTTCCTGCTTTCTTAGAGCTGCCCTGTCATACCCTGTTGGCCTGCTTCCAAGCTGCTCCAGTCACAACTTGGCTCATCAGCCTTTCCACATACCAGCTTTCTCCCACCTAAGCCATCAAACTTTCCCCAAGACCTAATCAGGAAAGCAAATTTGAATGATAGCCTCCTATCTCACGCTGGCCAGTAATAAATCCCTTCTCTTCTCAAAAGACTGGTGTCATGATTTTGTGTGTGCAATGGGCAGTGGTGGCCTACTAATGCTCCCTGATTTTGCTGTTTAAACAATTTTCTAAAGTTAAAGCTGTCTTTAAAAAAAAAAAAAATTATACCAAGCCTCAGAAACATGCCAGGGCTCTGTATGGCTATGATCAACGTATTCACAGCTTTCCTCTTTTGGCCTTTTGGCCTCTCAGGATTAGCACCTCCTAACTACTGGTGATGGGCCAAATAATGACCTGTCCAAGGTGCCCACAGCCTAAGTCCCTGGAACTTGTGAATATGTTAGGTTGCATAGCAAAGGGCAATTAAAGTTGCTAATAATCTGACTTTTCAGTAGAGTGTGGCAGGCATCTAGCCTAGCAGTTAAGATGCCAGCATCCCACATTGCAGTGCCTGGGTTTAGGATAACAGGCTGCAACTCCGGACTCTAATCTCTAGCTAAAGCAGACTCTAGGAAGCTTGTGGTGACGGCTCAGTGACTGGGTTCCCAACACCCACATGGGAGACCTCGATTGTGTTCCCAGCTCCTTGCCTGAGCCCGACCTAGCCACAGCTGTGGCAGGCATTTGGGGGAGTGAACCAGTAGATGGAAATTCTCTTCTCTCGCTGTTTCTCTCTCTTTCCCCTGCTGTCTCCCTTTCCCTATTCCTCCTTCCCTCTTGCCTTCTCAACATTTTTTAATTAAAAAAAAAATCAAATGATCCCAGATTATTCCAGTGGGCCTAATCACAGTGGGCTTTAAAACTGGACGAGGGAGGCAAAAGAGAGAGAAAAGGGAAATGTGTCTATGAAGAATAATTACAGGAATGTAACATTACTGGCTCTCAGGAAAGGAGCTTCCAGCCAGCAATTGTGGGTGACCTCCAGAAGTTGGAAAAGATAAGGAAATTCCCCCATGGGACCTCTATAATGAAGCTCAGCCCTGCCAACACCTTGGTTTTCTCCCAGGGAGCCCTGCATTGGACCTATAGAACTGTAAGGTAATAAATATGTATTGATCTTCTACCACAGCCATGGGAAAGTAATGCACTGTCCTTCAAACATCCTGATTCCACTGAGTATTCTCCTAAACTGCCCTCTATTGGCTGTTGTATTCTTGCCCACGCATCAACCTGGAATGATCCATTCTTTTTAAAGTTCTACTCATCTTTCAAGGCTCTCCTAAATAATACTTTCCTTTAAAATCACTGACAATTCTACTTCTCTTTTCACTCAGAAGTAACAGTAAAAAACCGGTTCTCAACTATAAACATTCTTCTGCTGCTTAGCACATAATTCATTCTCAAGGTTTTGTTTTGTTTTTTTTTTGCTTTTAATAGGACAGGCAGAGTTAGAGAGAGACAGAGACAGAGACAAAGGTCTTCCTTCTGTTGGTTCACCCCCCAAATGGCCACTACGTGCGCTGCACCAATCCAAAGCCAAGAGCCAGGTGCTTCTCCTGGTCTCCCATGCGGGTGCAGGGCCCAACCACCTGGGCCATCCTCCACTGCCTTTCCAGGCCACAGCAGAGAGCTGGACTGGAAGAGGAGCAACAGGGACAGAATCCGGCGTCCTGACTGGGACTAGAACCTGGGGTACCAGCAACGCAGGCGGAGGATTAGCCAAGTGAGCCACGGCACCGGCCATAATTCATTATTGCATATTGGTTATTTCTTTTGTCTTCCTCTATTATTGCAAACTCCAAACAGAAACTCTTACAGAGAACTATAACGGTTCTTGATACATACTTAATAAATGGGTAAGTATTCATTTCTCTAGGGCCCAATTCCAAATACTTCCAAAATCTGAATTATAATACTCCAATAATCTCCAAAATCTGTCAATGACAAACTGCCTCCTAGTAACCTTAGGTGTTGGTGTTCTCTCCCTCCTAGATTCTTTCTTTTTCTTTCTTTCTTTTCAGCCAGAGCTGGGCCAAGCGGAAGCCAGAAGCTTCTTCTGGGTCTTCCATATAAGTGCAGGGGCCCAAGCACTTCACCCACCTTCCACTGCTTTCCCAGGCCATTAGCAGAGAGCTGGATCAGAAGAAGAGCAGACAATCGAACCAGCACCAAAATGGGATGTTGGTGCCACAAGCTGAGGCTTAAACTTCTATGCCACAGTACTGGCCCCTCTCCCTACTAGATTCCAAGGCCCTTTAGGATAGACCCAAGTCCTTTAGTTTGTCGGTAACCTCTTTATCTCTTACAACAGTATTAAAGGAGGTTCCAAGATGGCAGAATAGGGAGGGAGCTTACTGCTGAAGTCTAGGGGAAGATAGTTTTTAAAAAAAATTGGAGAGACCGGCACTGTGGGGTAGCAGGTAAAGCCACTGCCTGCAGTGCCCACATCCCATATAGGCACCAGTTCGAGTCCCAGCTGCTCCACTTCCAATCCAGCTCTCTGCTATGGCCTGGGAAACAGTAGACAATGGCCCAAGTCCTTGGGCCCCTGCACTCACATGGGAGACCTGGAAGAAGCTCCTGGCTCCTGCCTTCGGAATGGCACAGCTCCGGCTGTTGCAACCAACTGGGGAATGAACCAGCAGATGGAAAACTTCTCTCTCTGTCTCTCTCTCTCTCTCTCTCTCTCTCTCTCTGCCTCTCCTTCTTTCTCTGTGTAACCTTAACTTTCAAATAAATAATTAAATCTTAAAAAAAAAAGTGGAGAGAGTGCAATCTCAGGGAAGAGTTAGGGAGAAAACTGCAGATGAAACTCCACACAAATGAGAGGGACACTGTGGATCTATGTGGAGGGTGTGGAGGCACACAACTCAGGACCCCAGCTGCCGAGAGCCTCAGCACCAGCTTTGGAGAGTGAGGTGAAACCAGAATGCTGCAGCCCCAGCCACTGGTGATAAAGCTGCATGAAGAGCCTGGTGTTAGTCTGGCTTGGAGTCCTGTGGGGGACAGTGTACCTGCCAACCTAGAGGGAAAAAAGGGGAGCACACTTCTCTCTCCCCAACCACCCAGCACCAGAATCCGGTAACTAGCTGAGAGGGTGCCATTTTGTACATACATAACAGCTGCACCAGCTTGTGACCACCTGAGAGGAGATGTCTGAGGCTGGCTGGGAGAACTGACAGGGGCTTGGTGCTCATGACTTGCGTGCTAGGATTGTGAAAACACTGTGGCTGCATGGGAGGGCTCAGGGTGTGGCTGGATCTCTAGGCAGTCACTGTGGGCGGCTCCACACTCTCCTCCAGGCTTCCTGATTGACTGGAAAGGGTCATTGCTGTGGGATCCAGGCTCACACTGAGGACCGTAGAGATCCTTTGTGTGGTTCTTATGGCAGCACAGGTGAATATAGCACCCACTAGGGCTAGTGCCTGGGCATTGGTCTCCTTGGAGGGTAGAAGGTGATCAAACCCTCTCCTCTGATTAAGAAAATAGAGGGAGAGAGAGAGATTTACCACACCTAACTTGGGTGTCATCTTGGACATTCCCTTCACCCCAGAGCACTGAACAGAGCTCCCTGACCACACCCAGCACACACCTCTGGGTATGCACTGAAAGAGCAGACAGATACTCCACTAAGCCACAGAGGCATAGTCCAAAGATAAATGCCATCACAGGAAAAACAAAATGAAACAAAACCAACAAGTATCTCCACAAATGCCTAAAAATAAATGCAGCCCTGAGAGAGGTGCCTGGGCCTTGGGAAAAATAATAATAAATGCAGCAATTCAAGAAACAAGAATAAGGAAAACAACATGAAACCCCCAAAGGAACACAACACTTCAATAATAGAATGTAAAGATGAAGAGATCAAAGAAATGCCAGAAATGGAATTCAAAAAACTGATTGTAGGATTAGTTAGAAGTAATCAAAAGCAAATCCAAAATTAAAGAAATCCATACAAGACATGAATGAAAATTTTACCCATGAAATTGAGATTTTAAAGAGAAATCAAAATGAAATATTGGAAAGAAAAAATTCAATAGACAAATAAAAATGTGGTGGAAAGCCTTAACAACAGGCTCGGTGGGGCAAAAGGAAGAATATCTGAGTTAGGAGACAAATCTCTGGAAATTTTGCAGTCAGACCAAAAAAAAATTAGAATACTAAACAACAGTTTCAGAGTTCTATGGGATACGATCAAATGACCCAATATACGGGTCTTAGGAGTTCCTGAAGGTGTGGAAAGAGAGGATGGATTAGAAGGCTTTTTTAGGGAAATAATTACAGAAAACTTCCCCAATTTGGAGAAAGAAAGGGACATCCAAGTACAGGAAGCACACAGAATTCCTAATAGAAAAGACCTTCACCATGACACACTGTAGTCAAACTCTCCACAGTAAAACATAAGAAAAGATTCTAAAGTGTGCATGAGAAAACACCAGATTAGTTTCAGAGGATCTCCAATTAGCCTCACAGCTGACTTATCAGAAACCCTACAGGCTAGGAGAGAATGGCAAGATATATTCCAAGTCTTAAGAGAACAAAACTGTCAACCCAGAATACTTTACCCTGCAAAGCTCTCATTTCTGAATGAAGGTGAAATAAAGACCTTCCATAACAAACAGAAATTTAAAGGATTTGTCACCACTTGTTTAGCTTTACAGAAGATGCTTAAGAATCTGCTACACACTAAAACACAGAAATGCGGTCATCACCATGAAAGAAGGTGAAGGAAGAAAATCTCCCAGTTAAAGTACAAAGGAAATTCAAAGTAAACAATAGGAATAGTTATGGAAAAACAGCAGGTCCAAATTGTTACTTATTAATATTCACCTTGGATGTAAATGGCCTCAATTCTCCAGTTAAAAAACACAGACTGGCTGAATGGATTAAAACACAAAACCCATCTATTTGCTGCTTACGAGAAACACATCTCACCAACAAAGATACACACAGACTGAAAATGAAAGGATAGAAAAAGATATTCCATGCTAACAGAAAGCAGAGAAGAGCTGGTATAGCTACCCTAATATCAGACAAAATAGATTTTAATACAAAACTGAGACAAAGAAGGGCACTATGTAATGATTAAGGGATCAATTCAACAGGAAGATGTGACTATTATAAACATATATGCATCTAATTACAGGGCACCTGGCTATTAAAAGAAATGTTAATGGATCTAGGGCCAGTGCCTT